TGATGGTTTGATGGATGGATGGATGGATGGATGGATGGATGGATGGATGGATGGATGGATGGATGGATGGATGGATGGATGGATGGATGGAGTTGTAGATCTGATATTTCCAGCTATGTGGTATATTAAACCAAATTTATCTTTTTCCATAATTTTAAAGGCTTTACAGAAAAAAAGAAGAGTTTACCCTCAGACTTTAACATAGTGTATCAGTGAGAGTAGCTGTGAATAAGTAGCGAATAAGTCAACAGATCATAGATTTAATATGGGTTCCTGGATCTTTTAAATGAGCAAATTTGGATAATTTATAAACTAAGACACTGACAAACATTTAAACTTAGATTTTTTCTTTTCATGTAAAACTTTGAAGTCATAAAACTTTTATATCTAAATGATTTCTAGACACTTTATTTATAGGATTAGAGGTTGTGGATAAGTTCAAAAGATCCAAACGAATGTTTAGAAGTGACCTGGATGTGAAGGATAACAGCTGGTGAGTTTTGTACACTGCAGTTCTAGATGAAAAGAAAAGAAAATAGACAACAAAGCAAATATTGACTGTAAGACATTTTATTTTAAAACTTTCCATCCATGAAAATTCTTTGCCATAATGGTTTCTACCAAAAATACATCACTATAGTAAGAGTCGAAGAAGGCAAAAAAGTGTACAAGAACTTCATCCTGCTCTGGATGTTTTATGATAAAACAGGAGAAAAACTCACAATCCTATTTTCAGCAGTATTTTATGATAATCAGATTTGTGAACTGATCCATGCAATATTACATCTGACAGACACACACGCAGTTTCACATTCACAAAGCCCAGAAGTAAAACACACACATACGCATACAATGCAAACTGACATTTTCTGAATGTTAATAATACGTCTCCTGCTCCACCCAACCTGGAAGAAAAGAAGAGAGGGAGGAAGAAAAGAGAAGAAAAGTGTCAGGGAGCAAAAAAAAATGACAAGCGAGCAGGTTTCATAATAACTCATTGTATCACTCTATTTGTATTCATCTCATTGCCTTTCTCTCCGTACATTTCCAAATGAATCCCCTTATAACTCAGAGTCTGATCAGCAGCCCGTGACACACAGATTAACAGAAATGATTAACTGTCAGCATGGATTGCATTTGTCTGCCTACGTCTTGGCCCTCATCAGCTGAGATGCAGTGGCAGGGAGCAGATTTTCAGCCATTGTAAGGCACCCATATCGTGCACACGATCTTCAGAGCATAGCTCAAGAGTCTTCATCAGCCTGCTTTAATTTCCTCTCTAATGATTTAGCATTGGCTATGTTGATGGGTGATCAGGTAAGTTTATTTCCTGGCCTGAGTCTGAAATATTAGATGTTTGCTCAATAGCAAACAACATATCCTATAAGCTTTGTTTCTTTTGCTCATGATGATACCACAAGATCAAACTGGTTAGCCAAAAAAATAAATATATATTCAGGTTCCTTAACCGTTAACCAATCACATGAAAGCACCTCAGAGTTGAGTTTACAATCTCTCATCAAGGATATTAGTGTTATTAATTTCGTCATTAAATCCAAATTATTGAACCCTTCTGTTTCCCGGACAGAGTAATCATGCAATTAACAACTTAAGACTGTTTTTTTTAACAACACAAGAGCAAAAAAGTTGGATTTATTGTGTACTTTCAAAATTTGACTGGGTAAAAATGAACTACATCCAACCCCGTATAAGGGAGGACAGTATCTCCATCTACTGTGAAGCTAGCTTTACAGCACATTGATTCAATGGCCGTAAGACAAATAAGTTTTTGTCTGAAATAATTCACAAAAATGCTGTTTTTAAATACTTAGAACACTGTTCCAACTGTAAAGCATGGTGGTGGCTGCCTCCTCCTGATGAACTGCTTCGCTCCTAGTGGTACTGCCACATTGAAGAAAGTGGGGAGTATAAAAGATCTGTCTGAAATTGTCTTACCAAATCTCAATTTTTAAACATATTAATATGGAATATGCATATGTGTCAGTGCCAGGACACGGAGCAATTTACATTAACTTATTCAGATTCTTCTGAAATGAAGCAGTCAAACACCAAATTACACTAGAAACTAGTGCATAAAATAATGAGTGTAAGGGTTGGGGTACAGCTTACGCGGACATTTAATCAAATATCAAACACAATGAGGCCCCAAATTATTCAAACTACTGGCTGATTTAAGCTGGGCATACACTGTACGATTTTTTGCCCTTTTTGGGCCGATTCTCCTAGCCTCGTGAGACCATCCTGATCTCGCGAGCTTTCAGGGTTTCACTCGCAGATCAGTCTGGAGACTCTCCGTTAAAGAAAATTTGGAGCCGTTC